ACCACGCGGGAGCGGAGCGAAGGGAGAGAGGGCGAGAGAGAAAGGGAGAGAGAGCGAGCGCCGGGAGGGAGGGGAGAGGGCCGGGGGAGAGGGGGAGATGGGCCGAGAGAAATTCGGCCCATCGACCCCGGGGGAGGCAAATTAGACTTTTGCGGAGGAATTGATTTGGGAAGGATTTGGATTCGGAATTGAACTCGACGATAGATCGGGGATTTGAGATCTTGAGATGGCACGGACACTAGACGACAAGCGAAGAAACAAATTTCGCAATTAGGGTTTTTAGGAGATAATTTTTCCGCTAGGCGCCACGACGGAACGGGCGTTACAGAGGCGTAGGGTGAGCGGTGGCGCCGGCGGCCGAGAGCGGCGTGGCGCACGGTGAGCGGCGGTGGAAGGCGCGCGGTGGCGTCGGGTGGGAGCGGCGTGGCGCGTGGCGCGTGGAGGCGGCCGAGAGCTGCGCGACGACGACGACGACCTCGATGCGGACAACCCCGACGACGACTGGGCGGCGACGACGACTGGGCGCCCGGATCTGGCGGGCGGAGGCAGCAGAGAGCGGCGCGACGACGACGACGACCCCGACGACGAGTGGGTGCCCGGATCCGGTGGGCGGAGGCGGCCGAGAGCGGCGTGACGACGACCCCAACGACGATCCCGACGACAACGACGATTGGGCAGCGACGGGGCGGCGACGCGGGCCTCGTCCCTCCCGGATCCGGCGGCGGCGGGCCTCATCCCGTCCAGATCCGGCGGTGGCGGGCCTTGTCCCGCTCGGATCCGGCGAGAGCGGGGGTGGCCGGCGGTGGGAGCGGGAGCGGGAGCAGGCTGCGGCGGGACCGGGGCGAGCGGCGGTGGGAGCGGGGGCAGGTGGCACGGGAGCGGCAGGCGAGCTCGGGCGGCGGCATCGCCGCCTGCGGGCTAGGTTTTTTTTTTGGAATTTTATTTTTTTTTGGCGATTTTTTCTCTTTGCATGCGGTCGGCTTAAGCGCCCGCATGCGAAAATGCGGGTGCCGTGGCCACATGCAAAGTTGGCGATTTTCACAGACAATTTCCCGCATGTGGTTGCGCCAACCGCATGCGAAAATCTCTCCTGCCCGTGTGCAAAGACCTTTTTTTAGTAGTGTCTAGTGTTATGGGTTGGGACTGCCCTTATGCTCCATAAGAAGTTGCTAGAATTAAATGGGCTAGGCTCAATTTAATCCTAGGAAATTTCATGAGCCATAATTAATGTTAAGAGATTAATACCATTTTGAAAACCAACATGGGGGACCTTGATTTAAATAGCTTACTAATTGAGAGCACATGCTGAGCGTTTGAGGTGGTCATGGGACTGCCATGCCTGCGCGCGCCGAGCCAAGCTGGCCGTGGCGGGGCGGGGGTTGGGCTGGCTGCTCTCCTCCCCTTCCGAGCATTGCATTATTGTGAGTAAAGATGATATAACTGATGGGGAGCCATTACGACTGTAACATATGGAGCAATTAAGCGTCTCAAGTACTCCTGAAAAAATAACTGATGGACAGTCATTACGGCTCTAATGTATGGAGCAATTAAGCGTCTCAATTACTGCCGAAACGTCTCTCTGTTAACCTTCCATCACCGGGATATACAGAGATAAGAACTCTTTTCTTTATTCGTCCTTCTCGTATTCCTCTCCTCTCACGGTACACATCCCACCCTTTTGTTCCTCCATCCATCTAAGAAGCTGCATGGGTAAGTAGGCGATCAAGATTTTGGAGAGCGGTTCTTTGCGCGACTCCTCTCGGCACTGCATCCTCTACACCGCGGTCTTCTTCCTCTGCATCAACATATCGTCCAACCCAATCACAGGCAGTGGAGGAGGAGACAGCATTGGCAACGCAGAAACAGAGAACGTCATCAACGGAGGCAACAACAATAATACATCATCATCATGTCGAGCGTTTTCTGGGTATATGTGTTCGACGATATTTTGTACATTTTTTTTATATATGAAAGAAATGAAGTGTGTCAAAGTATTAATTTCGGGAATGGCGATATAATAACGAAATTGGTGATTAATTACCACTAATAGCACAACCTGGCGTACATGGCGTATACGTATGAATAATGTGAGACACTTGCCGTCGGCTGCTCTAGTATATACGTACTCACGACATTTTGATATAGGGTGATCGATCCAATTTCATGGTTGGCTGGTGGAAGGAAAAAGGTGTGAATGTTTTCATGGGAATGGAAGCATGTGCCACTGTAGCACTGTCATTAGAGGAAGTTAATCATATGATTTGCCGGCCGTTAATCTCTCACGTCATATGCATGGAAACCACGTACAGTACATGCTTGCATGGAAACCTAGGAAATCAAAAGGGCAAGATAGCTTTATATGAAAGTTTCTTTCCATGAGCAGGGCGTGAGCGTATACGTATACAAGGAAAATTGATCCATATCACGTCAGATTGGAAACGAAACAGATAATAGCAGCAAGCACCTGAGATTTCACATGGAAATACTACTCTCCGTATCACCATAGAGAAGCTTCAATAATCATATCACAATACAACGGAATTATCATAATCATGATATTTGCTAAATGGAAATTTGGCTTATAGATGGAAGCGGCTGGCTGGCTGTGCAGATACTAATCCATGTATGAGCTAGCCTGTGAACCGACTTATCACCCCTATAAAAGATTGTCCATTTCATTTTACAGGGAGACAGGACAGACACAGAGACGGAGGAACACACACAGACAGAACACACACGCATACGAAAGTGAGAGAGAGAGAGACACACACCATTTTTGGCCGGAGAATCTCGGCGTCCAGCGAGAACACGTTGGCCGCAGTGCCTCGGCGTCCGGCGAGGAGGCGCGCGGAGGAGGAGACGGTCGCCGGAGCACGTACCCAGCCATTGCCATGGGTACAGCTTATTAGCTTTCTTTTATTTTTCCTGCTCTTTCTGCTCAGATCGTCATGCATGCACAACACGGCGACGAGGCGAGTTTCTGGTGCTGCCCGGCCCGCTGGATATAGCGTCCTCTCCGCCTGTCGGACGCACCGCCGGCCGGAGATCGCGTCATCGGAGACGTCGGTCGCCGGTGACACAACTACCTGCTGCCGCGACGTCCTTGCCTCGCCGGCCGCAACCTCTATCCCACGACGCCTTTACCTGGCGATGTGATGTCGCCGAGACGCTGGACGTTGTCGCCTTGCCGGTCGCAGCCTCCTCTTCGCGACATCACTGACGTCCGCTCGCTCTCGTCGACGTTACCATCTTCTTCGAACTCATCGGCTGGTTGCTCGAGGAGAACGCCGACCGGAGCGCCACTACTCGGTGCCCGCAAGGCGTCTCCAGCTCCAGCTACGTCGCAAGCCATCTCGTCGGAGTTGCCGGGGACGTCGTCGAGCCGCCTGAGTCCGTAGACGACGCAACGCTGCCAAGCGATGCTCGTCATCATCCGCTGCTTGCCGGAGAAGGTTTTTGTCATTTTGCCTCACCGGAGCACGCCAAAGGGAGTTGAGGCAGCCGCCAGGGCACTACGCCGCAGAGCCCTCCCATGTCGCGGATGCTGATTGTCTTGTGCATGCTATTGTATACGGTGACAAACCAACAAAACAAGACATGCATGCATGCTACTGTACACGGTGACAAGCAAAAATGAGTTTGCAGATTCATACTCATTTGGGGCTGCTCCGTATTAAACCTCCAAGCCATGACCAATTCGGCTATCGCGTTGATCATTTTACTTTTATAATCTAATTCCGATGCAATTCCTACCTCGTCGGGTCATCCAAGCTACACAATTCCATACATGTCTTCAACAACAATATAAACCAACACATCGTCCAAGGCCGATGAGGCTAAACAGCAGGGCGGGAGGAGTCGACATCAAGACGACGTCACCAACACCGGCGTGCGGACCGACGAGGCCGCGAATACCGCCGGCGCCCACTCACACACATCTACACCATCATCACCATCATGCATGGAGGACGTGAAGCGAAGACGGATGATGACGACCAGCGTAGCTTAATCGGAGGTATCTCACGGGTTTAACTCGCGAGAGTAATTAACCGGGTGTCTTCCGAGACCCCGGGAACAGGAGATCACAATCGCCAAGTCAGATCCACCTTACCTATGAGCCGTGGAACGCATTTGACAAAGGATTTTGTTTTTTTTAATTCTTCAAGAATTATAATAAAATGCATTTTCCTTTGTCCATTTTATTTTTGTGTACCTAGTACACTGGCACGCCCGCGCATTTTTATTTTATTTTATTTCCCTGGGCGGAGGGATGAAAATTTAATTTTTCTCTCCAAACAATATGATTATCCTCATTTCGGTGTAAAACATGTTTTTAGATGCTATTGTTCCTATTAGCATATTCATGTTTATCACTATCCTAGAATCACTCTTGTTTAGGGCCCCTTTGATTTGGAGGAAAAACATAAGAATTTTGGAGGATTTCAATCCTATAGGAAAAATTCATACAGATGGCTTTGAATCAATGGATTGAATCATATCCAATCCTTTGAAATTCTTATGGAATGGACAATACTATAGAGATTTTGGAGAAAAATTAGCAAGAGCTCAAAGCTCTTGGAAAAATTTCTGAGTCTATCTCTCTCATCCATTTCCTGTGTTTTTTTTATAATCCAATCAAACGGTTATTCCTGTGTTTTGCAATCCTCTATTTTACACTTCAAATCATGTGTTTTTCCTATTCTTTGTTATTTTCATTCCTGTGATTCAAATGGGCCCTTATTGTGTTATATTAATTTCTAGATTAAAATATGCTGAATTACGACTATATTTCTATCAATCCAAAAATTTAATAGATCTTTTTTAGTAGTTGATATTGCCCTTTTGATGGTGGGATATTATTTCCCAATCCCAATTACCAAATAAAGTCTCGATGGTTCAAAATATAAGGTTGTACCTCTCTGTGTATGTCATTACCGTAATTTTTTTTTAATCTTTCTGCTGTATAACCAGGAAAAAAGAATCATTCGGACACCTCAAAATTTTGAGCCAACCACCGCAGAACATGTTAATTTTTTTTGTCAACTGTACAAACACCAAGGTATTTAAGGATTTACACCGACAAAAAAAGACCGTAAATGTACCGTGTGAACTCCACCCTCTCCTGTGACTCTAAAATAACTGACACGGCCTCCCGCTAGCTTAGCTCTCCGCCGTTCTCCACGACGCGCCCACCACCGTCGGCGAGCCGACGTTGTCCTGGGCGTGCGCGGCGGCGTCGGCGGCGGCGGCGCTCATGCGCGCCTCGTAGGCGTGTCCGAGGTTCCTGAGGCGGTTGAGCTCCGGCAGGATGACGGTGGCGAGGTCCGGGCGGTCCCTCCGGCGCATTTCGGTGCACTTGAGGGCGAGCTTGGCGAAGCCGATGGCGTCGTCGACGGGCCAGTCCTTGACGGTGACGTCGAGCATCTGGGCGAAGGTGCCGGCGTCGATGGCCTTCTCGACGTGGTGGGTGAGGCCCATGGGCGGCCGCGCGGTGAGCACCTGCAGCAGCAGCACGCCGAGGGAGTAGATGTCGGACTTGACGCCCAGCTTCCCCGTCTGCTGGTACTCCGGGTCGATGTAGCAGAAGGTCCCCGCCGTCGCCGTCAGCCGGTACTGCGTCACGCTGTCCGCCACCGCCGGCGGCACGAGGCGCGCCAGCCCGACGTCGCTGATCTTGCTGACGTAGTTGCGGTCGAGCAGGATGTTGGCCGGCTTCAGGTCGCGGTGCACCAGCGGCTCCGGCTTGGTCTGGTGGAGGAACAGCAGCGCGGTGGCGATCTCCGCCGAGATCCTGAACCGCTGGCTCCACGGGATCGGCGGCGTGCCGCCGCGGCGGAACAGGCGGTCCTCGAGGCTGCCGTTGTCCATGTACTCGTAGACGAGGCAGCCGTAGTCCGGGCAGGCGCCGAGGAGGAGCACCATGTTTGGGTGGCGGATGCAGCTGAGCACCTCCACCTCCTGCTGGAACTGCTTCCGGCCCTGCTGCGCGTCGGGGCGGAGCACCTTGATGGCCACCGGGGTGTGGTCGAGGGAGGCGCGGTAGACGGGGCCGTAGCCGCCCTCGCCGATCTTGAGCTCGTCGGAGAAGCGCTCGGTGGCGAGCTCGATGTCGTCGATGTTGTAGCGGCGGTAGCGGAAGTCGTGGCTGGAGATGGCGTCCAGGGCGCGGACCTTCTCGTCGGCCTCGCGGCGGGCGCGCACCTCGGCGTTGCGACGCCGCTGGGCCTCCAGGTCGGCCAGTCGCTGCGCCGCCTCGGCCGCCTCCATGGCCGCGCGGCACTTGGTCTTCTCCATCTCCGCCATCGCCAGCGCCGCCTCCTCCGCGTGCCGCGCCTCCTCCAGCCGCCGCGCCTCCTCCAGCTTCAGCAGCTGCAGCTCCTTGGTCCGCTGCTTCGCGTTGATCGCCTCCCGGCACGCCGCGTTGTACATGTCCATCGTCTGCTTCAGCTCCAGCCTCAGCCGCCGCATCTCCACCTCCACCTCGCGCTGCGGCTGCACACACACCCACGTCAGCAATGGCGTCGCAGCAATGGCGTCGCAGTCGAAGTGGTCCAAGAACGCACGGCGGAGAGAGGCGAGCTGCTCTCCCGTGGGCTGGCGGAGAGCGACGACATGTCGAGGCTGTCGCAGAAGTCCATGGAGGAGAAGCGCGAGCTCTGGCCGAAGTCGAGGTCGCCCACGAAGGACTCGTTCGACACGGACCGCCTCGTGGAGCGGTACGACCCGTCGACGCCGCCGCCGCCGCAGTCGGGCGCCGCCCTGCTGGACAGCACGACGGGCTTGGACGACGAGGACGGGAGCGAGCGCTCGCGGAACGGCGGCCGCGTGGTGAGCTCCGGCAGGGTGCGACTGTCCACCGACCGCCTCGACGAGTCCGGCGACGGCGTCGCCGGCGGCAGCTTCCCCCTCGAGCACCTCCTCGTGTACAGGCTCCTGATCGATGAGTCGCCCTCGTAGCCACCGCCACCGCCGCAACCGCCATCGACGCCGCACTTGGCGAGCCTCACGTTCACCGACTTGCCCTTCGCCACCACGTAGATGTTGCAGTAGTCCGGCGCGCCCTTCATCAGGCTGGACGGCACGTCGGCGTTCTTGAATTTCCTGACCATCAAACAATGCAGCACCACCATCACCACCAAGAACAACACCTTAAAATTGGATCGAAATCGGATCAAAATCAAAACGAAACTAATTATTGATCTTTGATTGATTTACTTGGTGAATGCATTTCTGTTGGATGCGCCGAGCGCGATGCTCTGGATCTTGTTCACGGTGATGAACTCTATTAAGGCCTTTGACACGTCTGCCTCTTCCAGTACCAACTCCGATACATGCACCTGATCGATCAACAATGGAAAACAAAATGCGTTCTCGTAATTAAGTATTTTTTTTTGTTCATGTCTTTGATCTGAAAGAATTAATTTCTTGTGTTGATCTGAAACTAAATATTTGATTACCCCATTCCTGGTGCAGAATCCTCTGAAGGGGACAAAGATCTCCCTCATCTCGGCCTCCAACGCGCCATGCGTCGCCTCGGCCATGGCGAATCCATCTACGTCACCAAAAAAAAAAACAAAAAATGCACATCAGTTTTACGATCTCTTGCAGTTGCAGCAGAGAGACGCATGGCAATGGCTGATCCGGCGATCGACGTACGGTTGGCGGCAGGGGGGTGGACGGCGATGTGGAGGAGGATGATGTTGGAGGCGCCGGTGAGGAGGTGGTCGACGACCCACTTCACGGCGAGCTGGCTGTTCCGGTCACGGTCCACGGCGACGACGATCGTCATCGCCGGCTGGTGGTGCATTATCCCCGGCGGCGAGGTGGCCCGGTGCTCGTCGGGGCTGAGTGGCCCTCCTCCTTGCATCCTGCCCGCCTGCACTTCTCCGGTGAGATCTCACCCGCCTTCGTCGTCGCCGCCGCCGACGCCGACCGTAATGTGATGGATGGATGGAGGTGATATCGCCGGCCGGATCAGTGGATGATGCGACGGTGAGTAGGACGGTGGTGCAAGGAAGGAGAAGAAGAGAGAGGGAGAGAGAGGCTGAGAGAGAGAGAGAGAAAGGGTTTTCCTTTTCCCTCCCCTCCTGCTCTTCCTTCTCCTCTGTCTCTCTTCCTTGCCTCCAACCTTCCTCTCAAACTCTGCAATGGCCTCCTCCTCCCTCCCCCCTTCTTCTGGGACCTAAATGCCATGGCAATGGAGCAAGGATAGCCTCAGACTATTCTTGCACCATCTCTTTTTTTTCTCTCCTCTTTTCCATTTTGTTCCTTTTCTAAAATGTTTGTGGAACATTTTGGCCGAGCTATCTAAAATAGGGTGTGTAATCCGGCATGTCGAAAACCGGATAGAGGTAAAAATGGAAAGGGGAGAGAGATGATAAGACCTAAGAATGGCTATAATGCAACTCACTACAAGATCCATAATCCATGGGTTTTATTCCTCCTACTTGTTGTTCCAGCACACGCATCACGTATTCACGTGTTCCCATTCTGCATAATCTATTCCATTTGCCAAATTCATGCATAAAATTCTTGCAGTGTTTTGTTGTTCTAGCATGATAAGTAACCCCCCAACCCCCATATCCTCTGGCTCTCACTATGTTATGTACAAACTACAAAACTGTACATTTCCTAATATTCTTGTAGACTGCTGAAATGGTTTTACAAGGTCAGGTAGGTCTTGATCATCGTTGAGCCGGTCGGATCAGAGAGGAGATGTCTGACAAGGTTCATTCGCATTTGGTTCGGCGCAATTGTGAACATGTAGAATGCAAAGAGTATGAGATCCACTGAAGAAAGCGTCGAACCAAGGAATCCTCGCCACATCCTGATAGTAACAAAGAACAGTGATGAACACTTTGTTGGGTGGCAATCTTCAGGTCATACATAATGGTATTTGTAAATAGACTGAAAACAGAGGCAAATGCAATCAAGAGTAGAATTACCATTTGGGCAACCGGAAAAAGGTTTCAAAGAATGTCTGAATGCCTTCGTTATTCAGTTGGATTATCAAAGCCAGCCCAAAAAGGAAGAATGATCGTTGACGTTTCCGTTCTTGGGGCCATAATGTTCTCCATGCTGCAACACCGCATAGCAATTAGTACCAGAAAATGTTCCTGACATTTCCAAAATTATACTAAAATACTGCCCTCATCTGAAGCAATGTACTCCAATTTGTAATACTGGTGTGCTTGTCAATAAAATTGAATAAATATCAGAAGAATGCTTACCAAGCATTGATGGACTGGAACTTTGAGAGGTTCCAGGCAAATATTCTCCAGGGTAGACACGGTTTCTCAAGATATCAGATATCACAGATGCATATCTTGGAGCTTCAGACAATGATCTAACCACCGAGTATCCTATGTTTTTGACAGATAAATATTATATTATTGCCTGTAAATACAAGAGAAATTGAAAGTACGGATTGAGGATTTGTTAGTACCGGTTGCAGGATGCACCATACTTGCTGCCGCACCAAATGCGAGATTTTTCTGGTCTGTATTTGGTAAGGACCCTCCAACAGGAATGTAGGACCATTCCTGAAATCAAGAGTTCAGCATTTAGGTTAAGTTTCCACTTCACCTATGCAAGAGAAACAACTAGTGACACCAAGCCATAACTTGTTACCTCCTCGTATACTTTTCGAATATGAACTCCCATTGCATCCAACCGAGACATCAACCGCTTTTTAAGGAGGTCAAAGGGCATTGCTTCTTTAGAAGCTAGGCATGTTTCCTGTCTTGAAATAATTATCATCAGCAACACAAAAGCATGGGAAAATACTAGTCGGAGGAATAAATTGTGATAAAGTTTCTCATATGGACCTCAAAGAAAATTCGTGTGGATGACATGGGCATGGCATAGAGGAACGTTGGATTTCCTTGCTCAGGATGTGAGAATTTGTCTTTGAAGCAATCTCTGTAGTCCATGAAAACCATTAAGCTGGGATCATATGGATTGTTTTCCACCTGAAAATTTTCAAATCATTGTGAAAGATGAATGACATGTGCCCAAATAACATATCTAAAATTTTCAGCTTGAAACAATATGAATAAAATGCTCGTAGAAACACGACGACAGAAGGGAAACTATTCTAAACTCTCGAGGGGAGTAAGTTCTATAGGAGTTGTGCATACCTCGACTTCGACACCATATGCAGTCTGCACACAAACACGCGGACCACCAACCTCGTACTCTAGAAGCCTACCAGATGCTGCCCCAGATGCAACAATGGCAAGCCTGCAAAGTACCTCACGATCCCCTTCACAACAGACTACCCGATGTCCATCAGGAGATTCCATGATCTTGTCCACCTTCGAGCTGAGGTATGTGACGCCAGCGTCATAGCATCTGACAGTTTTTAGAGTATAATTTTTCATCAATAATTTTGTATCACTTTGCCTGACTCTGTTTACTCTCAAGATTGCTAACTGAAAATTTACCGTCTCAGCAACTCCTCGTGCAGCAAGTCCCTGTGAACCCTGCCATACGCACGGCCAATCATTATTGGCTTGTTACCGTCTAGGTACACGATAGTATCCTTCCAGACATGTTCAATGCAGCTCTCCAGGCCCAGGTCTGGATAGCAAAAGATCAAGAGCCATAAGTCCATCATGTACCAAATTATGATGGCAACAATGTTATTCAGTGCTGAAAATAGTATGCTACCTTTGAATTCATCCTCCCACACACCGTAGTTGTTCGTGAATGGAAGATCAGGGCCAATGAGACCAACATTGAGCCCTTTCTTAGCTGACTCTGCTGCTAGGGATAAGCCAGCTGGACCGCAGCCAATGATGACCAAATCAAGAACTGAATTTTCATCGGGTATGGGCAGCAGCTGCACACAAAGATTCAGAGCACGTGCTTTATTTTCTTGAGACACCATTTATTTATTCGTTCCAATGCAGAGTTTCAGGAAATAAACTAAAAAAAATCCTGATTGGGCTGACAAAAATGTTTCAAAAGTTCAGTACAAGTTATTCGCATTCCTAGCAGTCTAGAAACTTTGAACAATTTCCAGGATGTCCATGTGTCAAGAATAAATGGCATGATTTCGGGGAACTGTGCTTGTGTTTAGCCTAGCACTTCACTTGTTGCTTGAATCACATCAAGTCAAAGGTGTGATGTTGGACTGCAAATGCGACGCACGTACACTTCATCAAATTCAACATCTCTGAGAAATTTGCAAGCAGACAATAATTAATGCAACAGTACGTTCCAAGTTGCATCCGAAGGTGTAATTAGTCAGCAGTTGAGTTGAGAACAGTATGAGATACTCTTAACTTATCCCCTAATTAACACCTTTTGTACAGGCGACGACGTGAGCTCCCATTACAGGAGACATGGAGAATAGTCCAAGCTCCACAGAGATATGGCAGGCAGCAGCAAGCATGGGCAACCAGAGGCTGCTCTTTTTTTTTTTTTGGTCAAGATATGGAGTGAATTCGTGATAGCATCACGTGAATCAACATTCCACACCCGTCGTCGTAGCACGCGCGTGATCAGGGCGATGCAACAGTGTTTCATTCATGCTGTTGATGAATTTCGTGTTTGATTCTTTCTTGTAAACGGCAACCATGGCAGCAAGGTGATTGTGGGTTTTGTATAAAGCCAGATCTCGACCTTGCATAATGCTAATTAACTGCTAAAATCAAGATCATCTAGGCATGCATAAACAAACAAAAAAAATTGGAGTAGTGATATGATTTATTTACTGCTACTCCTCCTACCTTGGAGGAGATCTTGGACTGGCTGTCCATGGACTTGGACGCCTGCATTTGCACGTAGAGAAGCTCGCCGCCGCCGCCCTTGACGTAGTCCTCCTCGTCGGCGAACTCCACCTCCACGCCGCCGCGCCGCGCCGCCGCGTCCTTGTGCTTCTCCGTCGCCACGCACCTCACCATCCACCGCCCGCGCCGCCGCGGCTCCACCGCGCGCGGCACAACCCTCCTGCTCCTTCCCTCCGCCCCCGCACCCGCCGCCGCGGCGCCCCACGCCGCACGGCAGCAACCGAACGGCGCCGACACGGTCGCGCCGCCGGAGAACTCCATCGCTTGGTTGCACACCGTCGGATGAGGAGGAGGAGGAGGAGGCGGTGGTGGCTGCCGCCTCTGCGAAAGCTACTGGTCTCTGCGTCTGCTGCTGGCTGCTGCTGCTGCGGCCATTGTAGGAGGAGGGAGAGGGAGAGGGAGCGGGTTTGGAGGGAGGCGGTATCCGGGAAGGGGCACGTGGCGGGCGGCGATTGGGCAGGGCCCCACGAAGCAAAGGATATGGTTCGCTTTTGGGGGCAGCGCCGAGGGCGTGACTCACCCGCCCCACCAGCCACGGCGCCACCTCGTTGGGCCCCGCGTGTCAGTCACCGTGGTGCGTTGCTGGATATGGGCTGCTATGGGCCGGATGTGAATGGATCAAACGCTGTTAAGTTTGAGTAATAAGTTCACTGCGCGTCACTCAACTTAATAGCGAGAATTTTTTATGATCCCTTAACCATAAAACTAAAAATGTATACTCCTAAACTCATATAAACCGTGCACTCAAGATCCTATGGTAGTATATATAGGTGGTTTCGCTGACGTGGCATCGTAGTCAGCAAAAAAGATTAAAAAAGAGTATGTGGGGCTCATACATCAGCTGCACATATTTTTTTCTTCTATTTTCTTCTCCTTCCCTTCTCTTTTCTCTCTTCTCTCTTTTCTTCTTCAGTCAGGGCGAGCGCGGCGGCGGGACTGCACAGCAGCGGAGCGGCGACGGGCGAGCGCTGCGAACGGAGCGGCGCGGGCTGCGGGTGGAACGGAGGCAGGCGAGTGTGACGGAGCGAGGGCCTGGTCGGCGAGCGTGAGCAGCCCGGCACCGCGCTCGCCCGCCTCCGCTGTCGTCGGTAGTTGATTCCTCTCTCCCCCTTTCCTCGTCGTCGTCCCCAGCACACCAAGCTGCAGCGAGGGCGGGCTCGCGCAAGCCAGGCGAGCTCGGATGGGCTCGCCGGCCGCCGACCCCTCCCTCAAAAACCGCTCCGCCCGGCACCCACCGACCGCGACGACGATGAGGAAGGTGGTGACGAGGAGGACATTGTCCTGCTCGGCATCGTCCGCTGCTTCCCGTGCGCGTTCGACAGCGCCGGCCGCCTCCTCTCCTTTTCTTCCACTGCCGCCGTCGCGTCGGCGGGCTCTCTCCACCTCTCCTGCCACCGCCGTCGCGCCGGCCGGCTCTCTCTCCTTCTCCCGCCGCCCCCGCTCCATCGCTGGCCACCTCTCTCTCCTCTGCCATCGTGCCCACTCGAGAGAATCAGGAGAGAAGAGAAAAGAAAAAGAAAGGAAAGGAGAAATGTGGGCCCACACTATTTTCTCTCACTTACATGTGGGCCCCACATATTTATTTAAATTTTTTTGCTGACTAGGATGCACGTCAGCGAAACAGGGTGGCTATACTGCCTCGGGACCTTTTTTGACGGTTTTACATAGTTTAGGGTACACATTTCTGGTTTTGTGGGTAAGGGACCTGAAAAATTCTCGGTGTTAAGTCGGGGGACCTCCAGTGAACTTATTCTTAAGTTTGAAGAGGTAATTGGGTCTTTTTGTTTAGGTTGAGCACGGAGCTCTCGTTCCCTCAACGTAAAAGGAAAGGTTCGATTTGAGTCCCTCAATTATAGGTCGGATCTAATTCATATCCCTCAATGTAAAGCATAGGTATGTCGTCTCTCCCAAATTTAAAACAGGTGTAAAATGATTTCCTTGACCATTTTGAGAGTGGTTTTTGTTAACATGCATCCATGTTACAAACACAGTCATAAAATATATTAAAAAAAAGTGGGCTTACATGTTATCCTCTCTCTTTCGGTACCCTTTCTCTCTCCCCCCAGTCTTCTTCTCAGCTCGCCGTCACTAAGCCTTGTACATCTAAGAGGGTCTTAGGTAAATTGGTAAAATTTGCTATAGGATATTTAAAGTTTGTAATCTTTGCTAGTAGACACCGCAGAAACATGGCATGGTCAAGGATACTCTAAAGACTTTGTAATTGGCTGGAAGACACCTTAATGATTATTTTATTATTTCCAGGCTAAATGGAGAGATAAATTATGTTAAAAAGACAAAAATGCCCTTAAGTGCTACTAGCATGTCAACTGGCTCTCCCAATCTTTCTCATTGATCATTGTAAAATTTTGCATGGACTTTCTTTCCTACGCGGTTGGTGGCGGTGACACTCGTCAGAGGTGGAGCAGCGAATCGAAGGATGGAGTCTTCTTCTTGTGTTGGTGCCGGGTACTTTGGTCTGCGCCAAGCATAGGCGGTGGTGGCCAGTGGCGAACCCAGAACAAAAATTACCGAAGGTCCAATACATACTAATTATCTAATTATTGACTAATATATTAATTAATATAGTGTAATTTAGATAGGACACCGGGTAGTATAACGTAGGCACGCCCCTGGTGGTGGCCTTGCCGCCTTGGAGCCCTAGGTGGTGTTCCATGCAGCGTCGTCGGTGGCCTTGGTTCTCCGGGCGCCGATGCGCTTTGCGGTGGCGGCTGTTTTGGAATTTTGGGCGATGGCCTTGGAGCTCCGAGCGCTGCTACTCCGTGTGGTACCCCTGAAGCTCCGAGTGCCGTTGTTTCGTGTGATGGCCTTGGAGCTCTCGGTGCACCTGCTCTGTGCGGCGGCGGTGGCCCGAACTGCTGCTCTCCTGCAACGGTGCAAACCTTGTGTGGCACCTCCTTTCTTCGATCTGAAGGCTACTTCTTTGTTGGCAGCTTGCTCCTCTTCGTCTGTCGTACTCTGCTTCAGTACTACGAATCTATAGCAAACATAGGCCTTCTACAAAGACAAGTTTTATCGCAACATCTGATTTCCCCTGTGATGTTGACTAACTGTTCTTCTAAATTTTACTTCCTTTTGTTTCAAAACGACAGTATCCTTGCAAGGTCTACCGTTCAGGTTGAGCAAACTCTGCTCCTCAGATCTAACGACAGAATCCGTAGAACCAATTTGCTGAGTCCAGTGATACCTAAACTAAAATCTAGAGCTTAGCATCAAACCTTCGATCTATACCGTTTTCGTGGTGACAGCTGTAGGAGTCTTCCAGATTGTCAAGCGACGAGCATGTCAATGGAGGCCAAAGTATTCAGTCGTCATGGCTTTGTCGCAGAACTCTATCGATCTGATCCTCTATTGTTGTTTACTTTCATCAGGAAATTTGCTTCCTTAGATTGGTTAGCCTCTACCCTGTTAGAGATGGATTATTGCCTTAAATCATATCCTTTGTGATGTACTGGGGTGTATCCCCTAAATTCTGTCTTGTTTAATAAAGTTGTTCCTGTTATCCTTAAAAAAAAAAGACTTCCTTTCCTGTAGAGGTAGATGTCAGTTAACAATCTCTCTCCTCCCAAGCAATTTACATGCTCGTGGCCTGAGAGGCATTTTCATCTTTTTGGCATGTTTCTTTTTTATATTTAGCTCAAAAGTAATAAAATAATTGTGCTAATAGATTAGAGTGACGGTATTGGATAACCACACCTCCTGTTTAGTTCCAAACTTTTTCTTCAAACTTTCAACTTTTTCATCATATCGAAACTTTCCTACACACATAAACTTCCAACTTTTCCATCACGTCGTTCTAATTTCAACCAAACTTTCAATTTTGATGTAAACTAAACACACCCCTAACACTGCTATTCCCTTCGTTTCAAAATGTTTGATACCGTTGACTTTTTAGCACATCTTTGACTGTTCGTCTTATTCAAAAAAGTTGGTGAAATATGTAAAACTACATGTGTATATGAAAGTATATTTAACAATAAATCAAATGATATGAAAAGAATAAATAATTATTTAAATTTTTTGAATAAGATAAATGGTCAAACACGTAAAAAAGTCAACGATGTCAAACATTTTGAAACAGAGGGAGTATAACTCAATGCGTTTTTCGTCCTCGATTTAACAAAAAAATTCCAAAATCAGAGTTCCAGTGACTAGTCAACCTTTCCTATTGGTGAGGTGGGATTATTCCACGATGGCACTGTAGCACTGCTGCCGCCGCGCTACTGCTGCTGCTGGAAGTTTTTTCATTTTTAAATTTATTTCTTTTAATATTTACAGAAATAATCTATCGCCGGAAAAATTTATAGAAATAGACCTTGCCGCCTCAGTGGAGGGCGGCAAGCTGACGTGGCAGACGGCGACTTGACCGCGCCGTCTGCCGCCGTCTGGAAAAATTACATTTAGCCCCTTGCGGCAAGGGGCTAAATACAATTTTCCCAGCCCTCTAGAGCATTTGGCTGGTGCATTTTGCATCTGGGTCCCTTGCCGCCCTCTAGTAGGGGTCCCAGATGCAAAACAGCCACATGCTTCTTTCCAGATATGTTGATAATAATTAAAGAATTATTTATTTAAATGTAAATCAACCGTGGAAAAAATAAACTCAAATAAACGAAATGCGTGACTTGTAAAATTTTCTAAATCTCTACCGAAAATAGACGTCATTCGAGTGTCATTTATTAAAACAGGCGTAACTTTATCTTACGGACTCGGAATCAGGCAAATAATATATCCACGGATATCTACAGAAAAAGTTATATCCGATTCTTCCCCGCTTCACCGGGTTCGGCGATATTAAAACCTCCAAATTCCACTTGCAAGATTGTGTTTTTTAGGAGAGAAGTTTTTCGGTAGAGCTTTGGAAAATTCTACAGGTCACATATTTTGTCCGTTTGAGTTTATTTTTTCTATGGTTGGTTCTTGTGTTCTTCTAAGTGTGAAAAAAATATCAAAAAAATAAAATAAAAATAAAAAAGTTGCACATCTCTCTCCTCTACACTAGAGGGGAGAGGGGTTAGAAAATTCCACGTCACATATTTCGTCCATTTGAGTTTAGTTTTTCTATGGTTGGTTCTTGTGTGCTCCTAATCGTGAAAAAAATATCAAAAAATAAAATAAAAATAAAAAGGTTGCAACTCCGCGGAGAGATACAAAATTGGATGCAAGGGGTGTGGAGGGGGCTAGCTTTTTTGCATTGAGGTCCCTTGCCGCCCTCTGCTAGAGCGGCAAGGGACCCAGATGCAAAATTTACCAGCCAAATGATTTTTCTATGTTACGTTAATAATAATTAAAGAAGTATTTATTGGTAAAACTTGTTAATAATGTTATAAAAATGTATTGAAGTTGGTTGTTTCGCAATTTCATATGTTAAGTGAAATATTATTTTGTAACTTATT